ACAGCTGTGCGCGATATCGATCGAATTTATTGTCAGCTGACCGGCAGAACGTAGGCGACGAAATCAAAGGACGTAACAATACGATTTGAATGGAATTATTTTCTGTGAAGTATACTTATCGATTAATTATATCGTGAATTAACGGAACGTTAAACAGATAAACATTGGCACGATAATAAAAGCGGAAATTCACTTGTATATGCTTTAATATTTCAAATTTCAAATGAATTCTGCTACATATCAGATCAAGCGTACTCGCATGAGAATGATTATTATTTCGCGGAGGCAACGTTAATTCCGGATAATGACGCTCGACGAATTATTAGCGCCGAAAAAAATCACAAAGTTTCTGTGTGCGATTCTAAGCATTATATCTCCACCTACGCAAAACCATCGCGGTAAGCATCAGCTATTGCGAATATATCATATACGTGCTTAGGAATATTATTTCGACTTTACACCCAAATTAGTCAGTGGTTTTGCACGAGTCATTTATATGAAGTTTATGTAGAAACCATGATAATGTTTGCTGCAATGTTTACATGGACAAAATATCAAATGGAAAGATATCGAGTTATTACGCGTTAAATTCTACAAATTAATACATGAAATTGTAGCTTTATTAAATAAAGCTGTCTGCATACATAATTTTATTACAAATATTACATTAAATTGGAAATAAGTTTGAAAAAGTTTTATTATTTAAATCGTCATATATACTTTTTAATTAGAAAATTATGTATAGTTATTATTAATCAAAAATCTTTCTATTATATTTTATCTTGAATGTCACAGCCTTAGAATAGTTGTTTTAAATTTCACTACTTTAGAAGGATTTTATATGATTCTAATTCTTTTATTACATAATTTTATTGCGCAATCATATACAATTGTATGAAAAAAATAAAAAATTTTAATAATATTTAGTTGATAAACATGTAATTGTAATGATAGATTCAAAGAAAAAATTAATATATCAATGATTACAATGTTGATTTTTATTACGACAGATTTACTAATAATAATAGAAATTATTTAAACTGCATTACCGTCGAGTTTTCATGATAATTTTTGCAAGATGGCAAAATCTTTTCAAACGGCATTGCTACCTGCAATTTTTACTGCCGTCAAGAAATGCAGAAGAAGAACGAAAAGAAGGAGACTCCGTTAGGAGACAGAAGCGTTAAAGGACAAAGAAGTAGAAATATGAAGTGAGCATATTACTATTGAGAAAGTACCTGGCTTCGAGACGGGTGCTCTGTTCCGGAGAGGAAGGCATGGAGCAATAGGGGATGGATGGGGGGGAGGGTGTAAATGGGGTGGCACAATGGGCACTAATGGATCTCAAGCCGCCGCGAGAGGCGCTGCTTTTAATCTAATTGTCCTTCGTAACAACCGCGATCGCGATCAGTGGTATTCAATTATAATTCTTCATCTATACTGAAACATTTTGTAAAAAGTGAGAAACGCGATTAGTGGAAATCTATTGAAACAAAGCGCTTAAAAGCCGGAGATATTGTTTTTCTTCTATCTCTATTAAGATGACTACAATTATACGTACCTTGCACATTCCTAAAAAAATATTAATTTATAATTTATTTTAATCTTATTAAAATAAGAATGTGAAACCTATTAATATTTAGAATTTATAAATTATTAAATATTAAATATTTTGAGATTATAATTTATAATGAATAATTTATAGTGAAATAAAAAGATAAAAGACATTAGATTTTGTTCTTTAAACATGCTCATTTAGCATTATCAATATTTTCTAATTCATGTTATTTCTCTGTAAAGAAGGTTAATCTAGTTCGGTATTTATTACCGAATATCCCAAATACTCCGCGATTTTGTAGGATCAAAACCGAAATTCAGCGATACCATCTAACGGATGAAATCGGGGGAAATGGGGCGAAGTGGACCTCGAGCGTTTCTTTCTCCTTCTTCTAATGGTTCCATTTAGCGGAACTTTGCGACGCAGTCGTTGAGCTAAAACGCAAGAGGAGCATTTCGAAAGCGTACGCGTACTTCACCTAATGTGACAATATAAAATGTCTGCGCTGTTTCTCGAGTACGCTATCTTGAGTTTCTTCGCCTAAAAACCTACAAAGGTGGACACCTACTTATCATGACAATCTGTTGTTGCCATTTATATTTTTGTCGATATTGTACACACCACACCCACACACACACACACACACACACACACACACACACACACACACACACACACACACAC